TTAGTTATAATAAGTGCACTTTCACATGACAGAGCGGTTAGGGGCAGTGAAGGATCTTACTTTGTACTATCTGTTTAAAGATAATAGTTGATGATATGTAGAAGAACTGAAAAATCAGGTGAAGGACAAAAACGTAGAGGGTCGTTGATGACGGTCGAACAAAATTGGTTGATAATTATAGAAAGATGATGAATGCAGATCTACAGATTCTCATTGAGTTAACTGCCACTGCCTCAAGCATGTGGTCTTCTGCTGCATGCAATTAAACTTCATTTGATAATTAAAATCGCAAAAAATGTGTAGCTTTGCTCAGTATCAGGACAACTCATTTCTTTTAGGGACTATGCATACTGCTTGCAAACAGAGACAAAACTCCAGCGCATTCATGTTCGGCCTGAAGAACTCATTGAGTTGACTGCCACTGCTTAAAGTAGTCTTCCTCTGCAATTAAACTCCATTTGATAATTAAAACTGTCAAAAATATGTAGTTTTGCTATTATCACGAAAATTAATTCTTATTAGGAAATATGCATATCACTTCAGCAATTCAATGAAAATCAATCAATCGAACAAATTTTGGATTAACGAATTGAGTGCTTTTTTCTTTGGTTTTATTTATGTACCGTATCTTATTTTTATATTTTTTCCCTGTTGCAAGGAAGTTGACATTGTGGGGTGCAGAAATGCTCAATACGTTCGAATTAAATCAGCAAATTCTACAAGCCTTGACTTAGGAGCGTCCCTTCCGCTTTGGTGCCGTTTGCCCAAGGCTACGAAAGAACTAGAATCCCACTCAATAAGATTAAAGCTATCATCAAACTGCCTCATTATTGAAAAATTGCACTCTAGTCCTCTAAGGTTCGTAAACGTGGCCTTTTCTTGATCACAAACACTGAAATAAGCACACATTTTAAATACCTGTGTTTATCAAACTTTGAACGTATGAAAAAATGAAATTAAGTTTCACTCATTTGTTAAATTCCTGAAGTGTCCTACGTTGTAAAAATTCAGTTTTAGAAAACCGGTAGCAAGATCTTTCATTTTTCCAGATGGCATATTCCTTGGCGACGATGCCACTGACGGCAAAGGACGGGCAACACGAAAAGGCCTAATGAGTTTATAACAGGCAAATCAACAACTCCACACGCACACCACACGTTCTGGCAAGTAAATTTACTCACCGTAGTTTAATCGCGGAGTACGTTATCTGCTAACAAAAATTTTTTTTCTTCTTCTTCTTCTTCGTCATTTTTTTTGTTCTGAACGTACATGCCTTTCTTAAACATTTAAATCAGAAAACTCCACTTGAGTTTGACAAATTGTAATGTCCTTTCATTTGTGAGGTTTTCGCTCGCATCGCCGTAAACTCCATTGTCTTGAATATGCGAGGAACGCAAAGCGCGCCACAAATGTTTAAACCACAAGCCAAAGGCTAGTTTCTTGAACAGTACGCCTACTTCATCTCATGCACATTTTACACTGAACCTACCTCTTGTGTCACGTGACTGAAAGGTCAATCTTGACAGACAGGTTTATGCAAACTAAAAAATCACTTAACAATCAGATCTTATAGAGTCTTTTATCACTGATCAATTTGACGTCTTTTGTCCTGAACAAGGCTGAGTGATTACAAACATGACCTTAGCTTATACAGGTAAGAGCTCCCGGACTCACAGTAAAATAAACATCAGGCATTAAAATTCTTGTGTGTGAATAAGCTCCATCTAAGTGAGCCAATAAACTATTTCATTTTAATATTATCTAGATATTAAATGTTCAGGAATGAATGGCTTTTAAGGGAAAATGTCCAAGTGTGATAAGATCTGATAAGTAAAGCATGGTTAAGGGTAGCACAGGATGCCCAAGCTAATCAAGCTCTTTAGCATGACCGAATGCTTTACTGGAGCGTTGGTTTCCAATTCGATCTCCCACTCTAATCACCGGTAGCCGACTTCAACTATAGGCCTTAGAGTTTTTTTACTCACGAGGCTATCTAGCATGATATTCACTGGAACAAAAGAAAGTGTTTACATAAGCAAAGAGTTCAACTTTTTTGAGACTGACTCGGGCCGGCCCTTTCATTGTTCAGGAACACCAATAGAGAACTTAAGCAAGGACGACGAAAACGTGAAAACGTTGGCGTATTTTGACCACTTTAGAAACGAGAAGAGAACTGGAGTCGAACTGCATGCATCTCGCAATTGTATCTGGGATCGTCACTGGGGACACGCCGGTCAGCCATTGGCCAATTGGATGGATTATCTGTAAGAAGAGATCTTAATCGACAGGGATAACCTCATGATCCTCCTTCAGGTACCACCGCGGTCAAACGTCTAAATCGTTATTTTTGTTTTTGATTGCTGAGATTTCATTTACCAGTTAGAGAAAAATGGGCAAAGATGTATAAATCAGTTAGTCAACATAACTATCTTTCCATTTTTCTCAAAATTTTGAGCTTTTTTCGCTGAAAACGCTTCGCGCTAAAAGAGAATCATGTTTGAAAATGGCGCCGATAATAACGTCNTTTGAGCTTTTTTCGCTGAAAACGCTTCGCGCTAAAAGAGAATCATGTTTGAAAATGGCGCCGATAATAACGTCAGCATCGGTTTTCAATCACTTAGAACTTTTTTAGTAAACTTTTAAAAAGTTTAGTAAACTGACAGGATGTTGGTAATACCCTAAACTTTCGATAGTGAAAGTAGCAACCTTAACTTTAAAGTAGTTCGCTTAACTTTTGCAAATTTCACTCGTTTGACCGCTGTGAATCTTCAGGTGGCGTAATGGCTGCCTGTATACAGTGTATGTATGTATAATTTTCCCCGTCTCTAGTAACAGTCTCAGAAGTCTTTTGTGAAAGTTGTACTTGACCCAGTTTCTCTCTTGTTTTTCAAATGTGGCGAATTGTCCAGGGACCGGTCTTCCTCTTCCTGCCCAGCTAACATTACGTAGCCCTTATTACCACCCTATCAGCTGCTTTACCGAGAATTTTAATGAAATTTCCAATAAAAAGGTATGAACGCGACTGTCAAAGCCGTTAAAACGTGTCGGTTTGTATGGAAATTTCAAAACTGTTTAAGTCTCTCAGTTTAGTGATCATTTTTGCAGCGGCAAGCTCGCCTGCTGCAAAACTACAGAACGCGACAAGCGAGGGCAATAGCCCGAGACGGAAAAAACAACCACGGAGCGAGCACTGTACGGAAATATGGATCGCGTGCACAGCAAAGCCTGTGAGTGAGTATAGGGCAACACTTATCATCGACGCCTATCACTCATTCACTTCATTTTTTTCAGTTTTACACTTGCTTTTATTTGCTGTGTTTAGGATTTTTCCTTTTTTTCCAGGTGTTGAACGTTGAGAAACAAATTTAATCTGATTTATCCACCAATACGCATTGTTAGTCAATGTTATTTCTCATATTTCCTTAGGCTAAAACGCGTTTGTTAAATTTGCTATACGCATGATAGACCACGCTGTTTGGCACTGGTTTTTCATTTGCTTTTTCTAAACTTCTTTCTCTGCATCGTTATTAATATTGTTTCCTTCAGAATATATCATCAAAAACAAATTCCAGAACAAAGACGGCATAGAATGTCTTGTGACTTGCAATTGAAGAGAATCGAAAGGTAACAGTTTGCTATAGTTGGTCTTTAGAGTGGTACCCCGGCCGAACACACCATAGCTGCTTCCCTTCTACGACGAATCTCTTTCCCTACGCCATTAAAGCACGGAAATTCAATTTAAGATGAACTCAAAAGCTTCTTTAAAAGGTACAGGGTGGATTCAACTTAAGAAGGAGTATTATTTGGATTATTCAAGACATCTTAGTGCTAGGACGAGATCAGCGGCGTTGAACATCACAGGTGGTCAAAGCTTTGCAAGAGCTCCACAAGTGTACCATGTAAAAGAAACATTAAATACGGCTGTAAAGGCTGTAAATGCTGCGAAACGGAGCATTGGGCATCGTCAAAAGGCCTAACGATACGAGAAAGCTGTAATTACGATCTCGGCGTTAATGATGCCGATTGAACTCGTTCTTTCTGCGATTCTGTATTGTTCGTCGCTTGCATCAACTTTACAGTAAGAAATGACCATAAAAAGATGGAGAGAAAGCTCACCTTTCAAGACAGAGTTGGAAATTTTAATGCCTTTTCAACATAGCTTCAGTGTTTATCTAGCCCAATGTGGTAAAATTTCCACTTGAAACTCAAATAAAACCTATATAAATTTATTAAATGGTGAACAATTTAAATGAAATCGAAATTTGCTGTCCAAAAAGATCTGTGAATTAACTACTGATGAGTAGAACGATTCATATTACCTAACACTGGTGCAACCTTGAGTTTGCATTTCCTTCTCAAAGTCTAATGTAAATGTATAGGAATGCCTCAATAAATTCGTTGTTCTTTCTCAGCTTCTTTTCTTCCACTCTCATTATTCCTTTGGTCTGATACATTTGCAGAGCAGTTATGTTGCTTATATACAATTGTTTTTTGACCTTCTCGTTGTCCGCCGCTCATCAGGCACTAGAACACTGACCATCGGATCTGCCAGCATGCTTTCATTTCTTCGCTTGCTTGCTTACTTTCCCGTTCGTTAATCAGCCACAGTATCTTTTTTTTCTGTTTTTATTCCAAATTACGACAATTTTAAATAGACAATTTAAACATATCCGGTCGGTATAGGAAGTTGCAAACAAATTGGTTGTCGAGTTCCTAATTTTAGAGCCCCACCCACCCTTTCCCACGATAAAGCCTCAGGCTACATCGTAATTGTTCAGGTTGCTATGGGCTAACGTCGTTTTATTATGTTGCTCTTTCCAAATCTATTGAGCGAAGTCACTAGACCGATGCCAAAGGCTGTTTGAACTTCCCATGACGTACAATATAAAGAGAAAAACATGTTGCACACGCGCTGTATTGTACTTTGTCGCACTCAGTGGTGGTAGTAATATAATTGTTCATTCTCGTTCGATTCAGTTTTTTAGCTTATAAGCTAAAGGATGGAAGAAAGTCATGGAAGGTCGAATTCAAAAGCTTCCTTTCAAGGGAGTAGTTGGATAAATATTAAACACAAGAAAACGCGTTCTTTGGATTATTCAAGACATCTTTGTAGCAGTACAAGATCGGCTGCATTGATCGACAAGAGGCCCTCGAAATCATTCAGTGATACCGATGCTATTGAAATCCTAAAGCAGAGAATAGCTCGCAGGCAAAGTGATCCGGCTTTTAACACAACAAATGTGACTTTAGAGGGACCAAGCGTTACAAGAACGCCACAGATACAAGTTTATCAAAAGGACAAAACATTTCATAGGAAATACGGCAGAAAGAGCGAAGAGACAGAGCTTAATGCTTCGTCAAATAGCATAGCGATACATCGGAGATGTATTAACAGCCCAACAAGTTCATCTTGTTTTAGCCTTAATGACGACGATTGTGCCCGTTCTTTCTGCGATTCTGTTTCTTCCGTCGCTTGCAGCAACTTTACACTCGAAAATGACGATGAAAAGTGGGAAAGAAAATTGACTTTTTCGGATAGATTTGGAAATTTCAATGCCATTGAGACTTGGCTTCAGCGTTTATCCACCTCAGCATCTTAAAATTCAAACTTCATTCTCCATTGCCCTATGTTTAACTTGTTGTTCGCGCGTTTTCCTCTAGAACTGTGGCTCAAAATCAAATAGAAATATTTATATTGTTCATAACTTATTTTTGGAGTCGCTAGTATTTCTTTACCAGATATTACTTATAAACCAAGGGAAGTGCATTTTTATACCAGTTTCAACCGCTGCTCTATTGTAAAAAAAGTGCGTAACTCATATCTCTAACCAAGTGGAGGCGGAAAACCATGCAAATAAAAGTAAATTTCTTCAATTTCCTTTTTTAATCACCTCAAAACAAAATTGTAGCCACAGTTTGACCAAATTTAGCGTTGAAGCTCACAAGGTAATGCATAACATTATCTGGCCAATTCGCGGATTTGGGAGTGTGTGCTGACTTCTACTGCTGAATTTGGTCTTGCTTTAGTTTGACTTTGAAAGCCTAAAATCCAATGTGTTTGTCAACATCTGTTTTTCAATTACTTTCTTTGTACTAGACCATCAGAAAATTAAGAATTTGTTCATGCTTAGCGTGCGTATATCGAGTTATGGATGCACGCGGGAAGTTTGGAGAGCACGAAAGATGCGTAAGAGTTGCACGAGGCGATAGCCGAGTGCAACTCTAGCTTCTTGAGTGCTCTCCAAACTTCCCAAGTGCATCCATAACTCGATATACGCACAGCTAACAGCATGAGCAAATTCTTTTATAACATAGCTGACAAAAATGCTTGCTGTTTGATGAACTGCAAAATTCTCGTAACGCGCTACACAATAACAAACAGTTCTATTGGCTGATTACGAACGCGCCACAATCGTCTAGTTTGAATGAAAATATTCTTTCTGTAAAACTGAGATAGAAAATTTGCTTCTTTATTCGTTAACGATCAATGGAAACTAAGCAGAAACAAAGGTAAAAGAGTCTTAAAGTTCACCTAAAGTTAAAATCCTAACATGTTCGTAAGAAGTCGTGGAGTATGGTTTGGATTTGCTGAAAAGATGTTTACGTTTTGCTCAGCGAAATCCAGAAGACATGTTTTTAGCGAAGACGACTGTCATCATTCTTTAAACTCATATTCATTTACGAACATTGGCTGGTCATTACGGCTTCTTGAGAAGACCTGGCAGCAGTTGTTTTTGTGAGTAATAAATTTATGTCTTCTTGTGTAATTTGTGTTGTTATTGCGAGAGAAATTTTCCTGCTTCAGTCGGATTGTCCGGACATAACAAAAGTGCATAACAAATTTAAAAACAACAATAAAAGCGGAAATTTTACCGTTAAATGTTGTTGATGACCAGTTGATGTCTGTTCTGTTCCCAGTGAATGTCTTTCGGCCAAAATTTGCTGCAGCTGGTCTTCCGACAAATTTGCGAAACGCGCAACTTGCGAGTTTTTTTTAATTCGACTTTATTTTTGCTGCTTGATGGATCAGGACCTAAAAGGTCAATGCCGATAGAAAAATTGGGCAGTTCTTCGCTGGTTTCTTCCATATTTTAAAGAGAAGGAAAACTGCCCTTCAGCTTAAAAGACGACAACTTTGCAGCCAGGTAAAAAAATGCTTACGTCATCTTATTTACGCACGGGCGTGCGTAAATAAAGAATTTGTTCATAGCGGCTCAATAGGACTTATATAGGGCAAGCACGCGCGCTATGTTATAATTCCTTTTTGAGAGCTTATTATCAATTTTTCTGTCGACAGTTCTTTGTCCTCCTAAAATGTAAACAAATTTTTACTAAACAAAGGATCTCGCTAGCTAAGAAAGAAAACCAATTCCTAGAGTAGATATAGAGATATGTTAGTAGAGATAGTCGCGTAAAGCCACAAAGCAGTTAGAATGTGAAAGGTGAAAGTGTAGGAAAATCAAAACTGCATTCTTTAGACTTTCATGGAAGTACAATAATAAGTAGTAATGCATGAGTTTTAAAAACAAATGAAAATTGTCTAGATACATTTAAGCACTTTCAGTTGACTATCATTCATGTTGTCGACCGACTTTCACCAATTAGATTAGCTGTAGCTCGTTTTAAGATGGCTCTTGTCATCACCAGAAAACCTTTACGGCTACGCAGAAAAATACTTCAACGAATTTTCTGGAGCAATAATTAGTTGCAGGGTGCCAATCAGTACAAAATAGCCCGGCTAAAAATAAATTAGCAAATACCACAAAATCGTGTCTCAAACCAATCCATTCGCTTGAATCATAATTGGTGCATTTTTGAATGACAGAGCGGTTAGGGGCAGTGAAGGATCTTATTTTGTACTATCCGTTTAAAGGTAATAGTTGACGATATGTGGAAGAACTGAAAAATCAGGTGAAGGACAAGAAAACTTAGTGGTTGTTCGGTGAAGGCAGAACAAAATCGGTTGGTGGTGATAATGATTATAATGAAGAATGCAGGTATATCTACAGTTTTCAACTGCCACTGCGTTAAGAGGTCTTCAACTGCAATTAAACTTCAGTTGATAACTAAAACCGTCAAAAAATGTGTAGTTTTGCTCTTACCAGGACAACTGATTCCTATTAGGAATTTTGCACATTGCTTCATTAACGCAATTAGAATCGCGAACAATTTTTGGATTAACGAATTGAGCGCTTTTTATTATTTTGTTTATGTATTTTATTTTTATATTTTTTTCCAATTGCAAGGACGGTGACATTGTGGGGTGCCAGAATATTCAGTACGTTAGATTGAAAAGGCAGTAAAATCAGCAAATTCTACAACGCGTGACTTAGGAGCTGCCCTTCCGCTTTACTGCCGTGTGCCCAAGGTGACGAAAGTTCTAGAATCCCATTCCGTAAGATTAAAGCTATCGTCAAAGTTCCTGAAAAATTGCTTTATCTCGTAATCCTGAAAACGTTATTGCGCTCTAATCTTTTAAGGTTCGTGAAAGTGGGCTTTTTTTGCTTTATCACTGAAAAACATTAAAAACAGAAAAGTAAGCACACGTTTTAACTACCTGTGTTCATAAAACTTTGAACGTAGGAGATGGAACAAATTAAAGTTAAATTGATTGGTAGAATTCCTTTGGAGTCATAACAACTTAGTGTTTCAGAAAAGCAGTAGGGGATTTTTCGTCTTTCTAGATGGTATATTCCATCACCACGTTACCACGACGGCGAAGACCGACAACGGCAATGTGAACAACTCCGCACGCGCACCACCAATTTGGTGTACCTCTAAGCCGCTACCGCACTACTTTGACGTAATTTTCCTCAAGGTCGTCCTTTCATTTGTGTCGTTTTCACTGGCATCACCTTTCTGTTGGCTTAAACTCCCTTGCATTGAAATATGCAGGGAACAGAGAGCCCGTAAAAAATGTTTAAACGGCTTGCCAAAGGCTAGTTTCTCGAATGGTACGCCTACTTCATCGTTACTGGGGACAAGCCAGTCAGCTATTGGCCAACTGGATGGGTTATCTTTAAGGAGAGATCTTAATACATGGATAACTTCATGATCCTCCTTCAGGTGGCGTAATGGCTACCTGTAAACAATATGTGTATGTATGTATATTTTTCCCCAAATACATTTCGTACCAAATTGACATACACGACGTATTAGCAGAGGTAGATCGCTCACTATTCAAGAAGATCTCCAGTTCGCCCCGCCGCCCTCTGTACCCTTCCGTCCCGAAAACGAAAGAAAGTTCAACGCGCCTCCGATTTCCTAACAGTCAACTCCCTAGGGTTAATACCCAGCGTTTTAAAAATAGTTTTTTAACAGGCTATTTTTTAAATAAAGAGTAGCTATTTAATGTAATGCGGATCTTGAATGTTAAATTCAATGCTTCTACAGGGAATTTTTTAAGCCTTGTAATTCCTTCTGCTGTTTTTAAAGTAAGTGTTCTTGGTTTTTAGCATGTATTTTTGCTTAAAAAACAATAAACACCTTTCTTTATTTATTTTCATTATTTATTTATTTATTTATTATTTATTTATTAGTAACAGTCTCAGAAGTATTTTGTGAGAGTGTACTTGACCCAGTTTCCCTCTTGTTTCCAAATGTGGCGAATTGTCCAAGAGTCGGTCTTCCTCTTCCTGCTCAGCTAACATTACACAGCCCTTGTACCGCCCTTACAGCTGCTTTACCGAGAATTGTAAAATTTACATTGAAACGTATGAACGCGACTGTCAAAGCCGTTGAAACGTGTCGGTTTGTATGGAAATTTTAAAACTGTCAAAGTCTCAGTGTTTAGTGATCATTAGTGCGGCGGCAAGCTCGCTTGCGGCAAACCACAGAACGCGACAAGTGAGGGCAGCAGCCCAAGACGAAAAACACGCTGATCAAGGAGCGTACGTGCCGAATAGCACGCATCACCATGCAGCACCATCCAGATCAAGTGCACAACAAAGAGCATCGGCCAACACTTATCATCGACTCCTATCAATCATTCATTTCATCTTCCACTTGCCTTTATTTGTTGTGTATTGGAGTTTTTTCCTTTTTTCCAAGTTTCGAAACAAATTTAATTTAATTTATCCACCAATACTCATTTTGTGAGTTGATGTTACTGCCACCTCGGGGGCAGAGTAAAGCCTTTCCCACATTTCTTTAGGCTAAAACCCGATGGTTCAATTCGCTATACATGATAGACCACTTTGTTTGGCACTGGCTTTTCATTTATTTTTCGAAACCTATTTGTCTGCCTTGTTATTAATTATGTTTCCTTCAAAATATATCATCAAAAACAAATTAAAGAACAAAGACGGCGTAAAATGTCTAGTGACTTGCAATGAAAGAGAATCGAAAGGTAACAGTTTGTTATTGTAGTTCAAGTTGGTCTTTTGAGTGGTACCCGAAAATATCATTGCTGGTTCCCTACTACTACGAATCTCTTCCCATGCGCTAGCTATTAAAGCACGGAAATTCATTTTAAGATGAACTCAAAAGCTTCTCTAAAAGGTATAGGGTGGATTCAACTTTATAAGAAGGAATGTTCTTTGGATTATTCAAGACATCTTTGTGCTAGGAAGAGATCAGTCGAGTTGAACAACATGCACAA